GGGACACGGGAGTGAAGTGAGAAGTCTAGCTAGAGACACCACCTCAGAGCTGTGCCGGTTTTGATGATGCCATCTGTGATGGCACTGAGGTGATATTGTCCACAGCTGCCATTCATGACAACCAAACACAAGTCTGAGAAACCAGATGAGAAAGGACTGTCCTTATCAAATTCCTGAATGGCTTTAGAAATTGGTTGATGTCCCATTTTACTCGAGAATCTTAGTTTACAGAGTTCAATAGGTGACCCACCGTTCACTGGTTCTTTGTTCCTTCCCCAGATAGTAATAAGAATGTTAGGTGTGATACATTCAAGAGCCGACTAGAGTCCTTGGCCTGGGGAAGCTTACAGCTTTGTTCCGCGGTCTATAGACATTTCTTACTGTTCAGATTTATGAGGGCTTTTTCTGTTGTTTTTGCTTGCTTACTTGCTTGAGCTAATGTAGGAGACTGCTCACGGTACACTCACAACGATCTCTTTTTCCCTGGTGGTTCTTGGCAGCCCCTTCCTCAAGCGTTATAGGCAAATAGCAGCTATGGAAGCTACTGGAGCCTCCCATGCAAGAGATCTTACACTAGGGGACACTGAGATGCTGAGCTACCTTAGTCCCAGACATTATCAGGCAAATTACGAGTGCGTGCGAGCGCGCGCGCGCGTGTGTGTGTGTGTGTGTGTGTGTGCGTGTGTGTGTGTGCGTGTGTGTGTGGTGTGTGTGTGTGTGTGTGTGAGAGAGAGAGAGAGAGAGAGAGAGAGAGAGAGAGAGAGAGACAGACAGACAGACAGACCGAGAAACAGAGAGACAGAGATATACCACATGACCACATGACTACCTCTTTTTGGTCATTCCACTTTTTTTTCTTAATTTTATTTTTAAGATAGGTCTCTCACTGCCCTGGTATTCACCACATATGCCAGGCTGACTCTCCAGCAAACCCCTGGGATCTGCTTGTCTCTTCTTCCACTGTGTGGGAATTACAAGGACTGGATTTTTATTATCTTATATGGAGAGGTGTTTTGCCTGTATTATGTGTGTACACCACATGTATGTCCGGTGGTCAGGGAGGCCAGAAGAAGCTGTCGGATCACCTGAAACTGGAATCACAGATGTCAGGGAATCGAACCTGGCTCCTCTGGAAGAATAGCAAGTGCTCTTAGCGCTGAGCCTTCTCTCCAGCCTCCCTCCACCCCCGGCTTTTCTAAATGCTTATTCTAGAAATTCGACTCAGGTCTTCCGAGCACTTTGCTAACACAGCCATCTCCCCGGCCCTATTAGGGAAAAAATTAATGTTCTCAAATAAGACATTTGTTTACATAGCTATTAAATAAAAGCAGTCTTGTAAATTGCGTACATTAAAAATATTTGTATTTCAGGTTTGCAGAGATGGCTCAGTGGGAGAACTGATTGATGAGCAAGCATGAAGGCCTGAGTTAGGACCACTAGACCTACATGAAAGCCAGGCATGCCAATGCCCATCTATAACCCTGGTGCTTGGGAGAAGAGCCAGGCAGACCCTGGAGGTGCATGAACCAGCCAGTCTCATCCAACGAGCAAGCTCCACATTCTATGAGATACTCCATCTCAAAAACTTAAGTGGAACACAATAGAGAAACATACTTGATGTCAACCTCTGGCCTCTATATGCACAAGCAGGGGTTAGTCCCCTTCACACACACACACACACACACACACACACACACACACACGCATGTGCGCACACACACTCACGCCACAGGCACACACATACACACAATTTGAAATATAGCTTTTAAAAGCTAATATGTAAAACAAATACAGGGACAGGAGAGATGGCTCAGCAATTAAGAACACTGACTGCCCTTCCAGAGGACGCAAGTTCAATTCCCGGCACCCACACAGTTGCTCATAACTCCAGTTCCAAGGGATCTGGCTCCTTCCTCTGGCTTCCAAAAGCACCAGGCACACATGTGGTACACAGACATGCATGAAGGCAAAACACCCATATGGATTAAATAAATAAAGAAAGAAGCAAATAAATAAACAAATAAAGCAACCATAAGCCCTCTTGCTTCTTCCTACTCCCCTCAAGGAGCACAGGATACCTCTTTGCAGACAGACAGCAAGGTGACATCTATTGGTTTCTTCCTTTGATATCATTCATCTAAATACTTTAACAGGCAAATTTGGAACAGTTTTTATATTTAAAAAAAGGTCCCAGTGTGAAATCAACAACCTGGCACACTGAAGGTAGGTGGAGTCACAGCCCTGAGGGCTCAGAATATTTACTCGATCCATAAACAGATGTCTATCCATGGAGCCCAGACAGAAGGTTGGGGGTGAGCGTCCTCCCTGCCTTCCACAGCAGTCCTGGGTAAGCCCTGAACTCACCACTCTGCCCAAGCCTGGTTAGCTAGGCAGAGCCGGGAAGGCTGCCAAAACTGAAAACAGGCATCGATTTACACATCAGACACCACACTGGACCGCTGTTTTTTTTATTGTCACAGACTGTTATGATAGACTTTATAAATTGCGGTTGGTAGAGCTGGACCAGTAGGAGGCTTTCGGAGTTCTGTGCTAACGGGGGAAAGGGGCCAAGAAAACCTAGCCACAAACAAAAAAGGAGGGAAAAACAAGATTACTTGTCTGACCACAATGAGCTGGGTAAACACCACTTTCTGCACGCCTATAATGTGATGTTGCACTCATGTCTGGTATGCGTTACCACTGCCTGGGCTGATCTCTCAGTACTGATTGCAACTATATACACGACTTATTTTATGGCTTCACTCAGTATCTGTTAGCAAAGTTAAGATGCAAACCTACTTCCAGAATGCCTGCTACACCCAGCCGATTTTTGGTGTTGCCAAGACAAAAATCAGAAATCTGATTACTCGGCAAATATTGCCGACGTCACAATAACCAATGCTTTTCATCAAAGGATAATACATTTGCTAAACCGTCCATTTGACTAGGATAAAAGAGTAAATTCGCGGGTCTAAGAGGCATGGCGAGATGCCTGGGTCCACAGCTGCACCGTATGGATGTTGGTTAACGGTAATGATAAGGTTTGGGAAATACTCATCTCCTTCCTACAGATCGGGCCTAGGAAGAGCGAGGCTCCCCCACCTCCAGCACACACTGGGGACTCCCATAATGTGTGTATTATACTAACATACACCGGCTCACTGTAACAGTTTGTTGAGCTTTTAAAAGGCTTTTAACAAATAGTCCACGTTTTTCTAAAATGTAAAATCCTATGGCATAGGGCATAAAACACAACATTGGTGAAATAAAGCCCCATTCCTCTTGAGAACCATGATTACCCGTTAATACAAAAGACTAGGCTCTCTTTCTCCTTCCCTCCTTCCCTTCCTCTCTTAGGGAGTGTCTCACGATGTCGCTCAGGCTAACCTTCAGCTCACAATCCCCCTGCCTCCGTTTGGGATGACTGACATGAGCCACTGTACCTGGCAACCATGCGCCTTTAATGCAAGCAGCTGATTCTTCTCGTCTGGTCTTCGTCCTAGTCACCCACATTCTGAACTTGAACCCAGAGCCTCGGCCATACTAAGCATGCTCCATGCCGCCACTAAGCTCCACCACCCCACCCCACCCCCGGCCAAGAAAGACCGTTAACTTTTTAACAAGGGTAAAATTCTTTCTTCTCTTAACCAAACTGTGTTCACTCATTTAAAGTAATTTCATACTGTGTTAATATACATATATTCCCGAAGACAGTAATAGCGGCTATAAGCAACACGCCTTCTTATGCTTTCTCCAGTGTCATCGATTTTGGTGCTTGTGGGACACTTGGTTTGAGTGAATCGTCTCTGAAATGCAGGTGCAGGTAGAATTGGTGGCGGCCACATTAGCCGCTACTCTCTTAGTGAGGTGACGCGAGGAAGCAAGTTGAAAGTTAGCACCATCTTCAATTTCATAAAATACAGCAAAGTCTCACCTCGGAAGTGTTGTATTTACCTTAATTAGTGTTACAGCTTACTCCTTCCACCTGCACGTTTAGCCGACACACTTTTAGGGCTACACTCTCCCTCCGGAGAACTAAGCTAGAACCGGACCAGCTAATTACTGAATCTTAACAAACCCAAGGCCCAAAGCCTTGAGAATGCCAGGGTTGTTCCGAGCTAATGAGACAACACTAGAAGGAGAGAACTGGAAGCTGGGAGGGCTCGCGGATGGGGCTCACAGGCAGACACTCAGCATTTAACGCTGAGTTCCCACCCAGTTTCTAACCGAGTCAGTAAGTGCATTAATTCCGAAGCCGCCGAATTCCCAGGTGGCTCTACTCAGGGAAACCTGACAGGTTTGGGTTCCTCAGCTGAGGCTGAGAGCACAACTGTCTCCAGTCTTCGATATTCTCATCTCTTATTGCCCAGCTCTCCCAGAAAATAAGAAAGGAGACACCCGATTTCCACCTCCCCCATCTCATCTCCTGCTCTGCACGCCTGCCTCTCACCACACCTGACAGCCGAGGACCAGTTACATGGTTCCTCATGAGAGCCCAGGCCACAACCCTGCAGGAACAAATGAGGAAAGGGCCACCAGAGAGTCCCCGAAACCTAGAACATGGTTTTTAGATCAAGGATTCAAACTAACAAAGGGATCACCAACCAACAGTAGTCGATTTGATTCTCCTTCCAGGTGTGCGTTCAAATCCCTCCTCTTGAAAAGAAAAGACAGAGCCAGGCAGTGGTGGCACACGCCAGAGGCAGAGGCGGGCAGATCTCTGTGAGTTCGAGGCCCTCCTGGTCTACAGAGTGAGTTCCAGGACAGCCAGGGCTACACAGTAAAATCCTGTCTTGAAAAAAAAACAAAAAGCAAAACACGAGAAAGAAAGGAAAGAAACTGACCCCCACCAATTTCAAAAGAAATCTCTTGAAGACAGCCTCATCGGCTCTTTTACCACTTACTAAAGAACAGCGCCAACAGTGTGTCTCAAGCCTCACTATCCAGCTACTACAGTGTCAGCAAGAACCCTCGGCAGAGCGACTGCGGTGTGGACTGACCTTCTGCACGGCCCCGTGGAAGGCCTGTTTCATCCTCCTGCAGGACTCGGACAGGGCATCTGTGTCGTCGCTCTCCATAGTCGAGTCCTGTAAGCCTGTGTTCTCATGGAGTCTGAGAATCCTATAAATGCAGCGAGTGCCGTCTTCCGATATTCTGTGAGGATCCATCTGGGGGCGGGGAGGATATTAAAGTCATTACAGTTAATAAAAAGGGCGACGCTTAGAGTTTTATATCCCTCAGTGATAGATAACAAATAAAATTACCCTCTAGCTGATGAGAACGTTTTGCTGTTGTTATGTATAAGTGTATACACACGCATGTCTATGCACATGTGGGGACCAGGAGTTGATGCTGGACATCTTACTCTGTCATACTCCACTTTAAGTGTTTGAGATGGGGTCTGTCGATGAACCTAAAGCTCACCCTTTAGCTAGACTGGCGAGCCAGAACCTTAGCAGCCTCCCGTCTCCAGTTCCCATCACTGGGATTTGGATGGCAAGTACTCTATTGACTGATCCAACTCCCTTGCCCTGTAGATGGCAATCATCTATAATACACAATGTCATAGATACGTAACAGATGTGTGTGTGTGTGTGTGTGTGTGTGTGCGTGATTCATGGGAAATGAACTTCTTCGTGGGCAGAAGAGGCATCGAGGATCTCATATGTGATGCAAGCAAGTAAGACTTGTCAAGTTAGACAGGTAGTTCATAATTATAATCTAAGGATTTGAGAAGCTGACGAAGAAGGATCAGTGTCTAGGGAAAGCCTGGGCTATATAGTGATTTCCAGGCCAGCCTTGGCTACATTGTAAGGCCCTGCCTCATAAATAAGATAAATAAGACACATGCTGCATTTAGATGAAGCCGCGTGGAGATGAAGGCCACTCGGAGATCCAAAGGAGGCAAAGCTTTGAAGTTTTGAAGCCAGGAGTTTGACTTCTCTTTCAGATGAATATCTATTTACCCAGTACTTCCCATCCTGGGTCTTACAAACACGTAAGGGCAGTGTCTGTCTTCACATTGAGGTGGACAGGGGTACTTGTGCAGGTCATATGGACAAGCGCTTGGAAATGCTAAAATATAAGGACTGTCTCATCCAAAAAATCCCCATGGAATGACTAGCCAAACACAAGTTTATAAAAGGTTCCCGTCAAGAATCTCTCTGGGTGCTCTTCAGGTAGACTGCCTTCTACTTCCCAAGCTCCCTTAAGGCTTTGCGGTGGCTTCAACCACCATAGAAGAGGGAATTTGATTTGCTGCTGTTGTTTTCCTTTGGTTTTTTGAGACAGGGTCTCTCTGTGTAGTCCTGGCTGTCGTGGAATTCACTCCCTAGGCCAGGTTAGCCTTGAACTCAAAGAGATCCGCCTGCCTAATACTGGGATTATGTGCCGCCACCACCTAACTGAGGTTGATCGTTTTCATGACGGCTTAACTTGCCCTCTCTCTTCCAAAACTCAAAGTTCTTCATGATCAGTAGTTAAAAAATAGGTTAAACTAAACGCAAGGGGGAACTAAGTCAGTTTATACCAACCAAAGCACAGGCAGATGTAACACTGTCTCTCTTTCCCCAATTTAATTAGATGAAAGTAAACGGAAAGAGGTGTGCCCTTGTTAACCAATCCTCAGGGACAAACTAAAAGGTACCCTCTCCTTACCAAACCTCTCACAAACAGTCTTTTACCAAACATACACACATGGATCTATGCTTTACTATTCTAGTCATGCAGATATAAGGCTGGTCTGGGGCTGGAGAGACAGTTCACCAGCTAAGCGTGCTTGTTGCTCTTCTAGAGGACGAGAGTTTGGTTCCCAGCACTGAAGTCAGGCAGCTCATTGCTGCCTGTGACTCCAGCTCCAAGAGATCCGCTCACCCTGTTCTTGACTCTGAAAGTGCCTGCACACATGTTTATATGGCATACTCACATAAACACACACACACACTTGCACAAATAAAAAATAATTGTTAAAATTCTAAAATATATCAAGATAATCTTTAAACATGGGTGAGATCCAACCTTGAAACAAATGATTTGTTTTCACTAAAGGGCAGATGTCAATTTTTTTTTTAATTTTTACACAAGAGCCTCACTGTACAGCCCAGGAAAGCCTGGAACTCCCTATGGCAACCAGACTAGCCTGGGACTCACAGAGACCGGCTTGCTCTGCCTCTCTAGTCCTGCGATTAAAGGCGTGTGCCACTGGACCCAGTTCAATCATACTTTTGAAAATGCTCATGTAAGTCAAGAAGTATCCTATCAAGGCAGATATGTCTGGGCACTTGACATGAAGGACCACTAGGTTCAGACCTCAGGAAAGCAGGATTCTGCAGGGCTTAACGCCAGGCCAGAGCTGAGCTGAAGGGACCATGTGGCATTAGGAAACACAGGGGACCCTAATCAAAGCTTGTTAAGCTTGCATCCTACAAACTAAAGCAGCAGGCCCCAGCACTGTCCATACTTGGGGTACAGTCAATCACAGCATGAACTCACGGGGAGGGGGACTGTATTTGAACTGAATCCAAAGTTGTCCTCTCCATATTAAACTTCAATAAGTGATGCTTCAAAGTGTCAAATATACAAATTTGTGTAGCTATTCTGTTATTAAAATGCCCTCCGGCCAAGATTCAGTCCTTAGCACAATATTGTACCAGTTAACAATAGTTCATGGCTTGGTACAAATTTTAAAAAGTGGCATTCAAAGACTGACCTTTCTCTCTTAAAAAAAAAAATGCCGGTGACCCCACCTCACTTGGACCTCTCAGCCAATTTTATCACAGCCTTAATTAAGTTAAATTTGATTGTTGAACCTTTCTTCAAATACTTCAAGCACGCACTTGAGAACCACTGCTCACGTCTCCACAGCCCATCAGTTACTGTGACAAAAGAAATCAAGAGTGTGCCAAAATTAACTTTGAGCTGTCTGTTTACTCATTTCCTTAAGGATGATAAGTTAGAAATCCACTTTGCATCTGTACCAGATGTGCCTTCCCCTTCAGGTGCCCAGGCGAAGGAAGGGAAGCAGCTTGAGGACCAAGGAAAGCAGGTCTGGAGCAAGGCCCGTGGGGCTAACTGCAAGACGACTCAGACTGGCCAAATGTATGTAGCTCCCACCCAATAGTGTATTCTGGGGTACACGGCAGTCTGGATAGGGGATTTGTGTGGTTGAAAATTCTATTTAAGTGACAAGATATTCCACGCTAGTAAATTAGAAATGGGAAGACTTGTAGGGTGTCAAATCATTTCAAAGACCCTTCCAGCCAGATAGTTAAGTATGTGAGGAGCCGTGTTAGATGCTGGGGGGTGGGGGGGAGCCCGCTGATCAAACAGGCACCCATGTCTTTTTGGAAGGCGCATCGGCTGAAATGAGTTACAATGAGTCACACCTGCATGTGTGCCTGCAGACACTATAGGAGTGTCTGATTTGAAATGGATGATTGGGGCTGGGAAAGCAAGCATATGCTGGAGGCCTTGGGCTCTATCACCAGTAACACACACACACACACACACACACACACACACAGGGGACTTTGAAAATGCACCTATCTGATGATCAGACGATGCTGTGGCTGGGAAATGAACTTTTTCTTACTGGGGTGTGTGTGTGTGTGTGTGTGTGTGTGTGTGTGTGAACTTCCTTGAAACCGATCATTCTTTCATAGGGTTAAATGAGGCAGGATGCTTGACATTTGGGCTGCTTCCTTATCGGTTTTTCAAACGAGCTGCCTACCCACCTCAACATCAGATCTGGAGCAGTGGCTGCTGTCCTGGGTGAGGCTGCCATGTGCCCAGGAGAGGGGAGTTTAAGAGCAAAGGTAGATCCAGCTTTCTAAAGGCTTACCGTTCAGCTAAACTCTAAGCGTATGGCTACACACAAACACACACACAACACACACCACAGACACAATACACACACCACACACCACAGACACAATACACACACCACACACCATACACCACAGACACAATACACACACCCCACACACCCAGACACAACACACACAACACACAACACACACACAATACACACACACCACAGACACAAGACACACACAATACACAACACAGACACACCACACACCACAGACACAACACACACACCACACACACACACCAGACACCAAACATACATACACACACCACACACACATACCACATACACACATATACCACAAACACACCACAGCAAGCATACACACATACACACATATACCACATACACTACATACACACACTACACACACCCCACACCAAATACACACATATACCACACACACACGACACATACACACCACAAATGTATACCTTACATGTATACAAACACGTACATACCATACACAGAAACCACACAACTTTACAAGCAACATTTTAGAAAGGCTTTATTTTCATTGTAAACCAAAGGATATAGTAAATACACAGGACAAGCCAGCTGCCATTTTCCCTTTGGCAGGCCCTGTGGGAGAAAGACCATCTACAATGGACCTAGGGTTTTTTTAAATATAGGCGCAGGCATGGACAACCAGAAACATACAGGATGACCTTTCCCTGCTAATTATTTAAACCTGAGTAGGATTTGGTGTAGGGTTTGGTTTTTTGTTTTGAATCTAGTCTGGTCTTGATCTTTCAATCCTTCCAATTTATTTCTGTTCACTATCTTTAATCTATAATAAATCTGACTTCTTTTATCTTAAATGGTAAATGTGTTTTCTGAGACGAGATATTTTCATTTTTATTCAAATGCGTTCAGAAATCCCAAATAATTCATCCAGAACTTAAAAAACTTAATACAACTTAAAAAATAAAACTATTCATTATTTGACACCAATACCTAAAAGTATAAAAGAAGGTTTTCCAAAGATATAAAAGCGGAAAGAATTGCGGATTGAGCCCTTGTGTGCCCAAAACCCACCTTCAAAAATTATTCACAAATGGCTAGAAACCATGCCTCATATATAAGCTGTGAGCTCCCTACACCTGCCCACATTTCTATCAATTATTTTGGAGCATTTTCCAGACACCACAGCATTTCGTGTGTAAGGGTTTTGGGATGCATCTCTTAATCGATTAGGATTCCCTTCAGTATCAAGTGTGAACACCACACTCAGTGAGATGCAATCAGAATACTCAAATAAGAATGTTTTTCCAAATCCAGCTACTCTAGGGATGGATACAACCTTTTTAACATGTAGTTACAGACCTGGGTTCAGAATCATGACTGAAATATTTTATTTGTCTTAGAGAGGCTGGATCTTTGTGGCGATTGGGGACTAGAGGCACGGTGCATTTAGTGGAGGGTTTGCCTAATACACACAAAGCTCTGTGCATTTAAACCCAGGCACCACACCACATAAACGGAGAATAGCGGTACATGCCTGCAGCCCTAACTCTTGGGAGGTGTAATATCCTTGGCTACATGACAATTTTGAGGTCAGCCTGGGCTATTTGAGACCCTAGCTAGGAAGAAAGGGAGGGAGGGAGGAAGGAAGGGAGGGAGGAAGGGAGGGAGGGAGGGAAGGAGGGAGGGAGGGAGGGAGGAGAAAGGGGGGAAAGAGAGGGGAAAGAAAAAAAAGAGGGAAAAACTGTACCCAGAAACCTGATGGTATTAAATTCTCCAAAGGAAAATCATCTGGCTTTGTTTGCTATCTCACGAGCTTACTTTGGGAAAGACAGTTTCCTTATTAATCTTGGGCCATCAACACTATTGACAACATGATGGAAGGTGACCATGCCATCAGGGTGACAGACACCTCAGGCCACTCCACCGCCACAGAATTCCTTCAGGAAAGCTGAACAAGAGCCTAGCTGGTGAGTCCTTTCTCCACAGGTGTGCCAAGTCCCAGGGTTCTTGGCAGTTAAGGGTCCCTAGAATGTTCTCACTCTACACTTCTTTCTGAGCTCAGTGCTCACTCTACCATTAGGGCTGAGGAAGTTGTTATGGCTCTAACAAGTTAAAAAAAAAAAAGGCACTGGGAACTACCATCATCAGACCTTAAAACCCAAAACCTCTCTGCAAAGAATTATTATAATTACCTTCTATTTTAAGCATACTCTATCCCCTGGCACCGCACACATAAAAACAGAGGTACTGCACATAACAGTGAGTGATCTCAGTACCATATCATGGAGCCACATACCGTGCAGGCTCCCCCCACACATGCATTGAAATGCCAGATGGCAGAAAACAGCAGAGAAGTCTTTCTTCATTGACACCCCGTGTCCCAACAAAGGGTAGGGGTGTCTACCCACTTTCATATGGATTTGTGCGACTCATGTCACAAGCAAACCACCCAAACCTCGTCTGAGGCAGAAAATCTCAACAGGTAACAAATGTGATTATTAAGACGGGTTTGCCGAGGAACTGGTTTACGGTCTTTCTATTTTTGCATTGGTGGGTAACCACACCAGTGGTAGAAACTGCAAGCCAGTAGATCTGACTACTTAACAAAGCCTAGGATCCAAAGCACAGCTCAAGACTTTGGCACATGTCAAAAGCCTACGCAGTCCAAGCAATGGCACAGTTTAATGTATCCAGCTTGGTTTAGTAATCACCTTTGATTCTGGAAACAAACGAAGTCCAAACCCAACTTTCTTTTCCCATAAAAATATGCACAGTCAGCCCCCCACTTCCTCTGAGAAAGAGTTCATAGCACCAGACAAGAGTAGTTGAATGAATCCAACCAACTGCTCTGCAATTTCCAAGAAAAGACAAGAGCACAAACCACCAGAAAGCATAATATTACAAATTTACCCCTCCCTCTCTCTTCCATCTCCGGCAGCTCTGAGTCTTTAGCTTGAGGCTTCTTCCTCTTTTCAAAGGTTGGTTACTGGCTAGATTGTAGTCAGGCTATACTAACACACACACACACACACACACACACACACACATACACACACACACACACACACACACACACACACAGAGGCACCTTCCTTCCTCTGCACACCTCACAGGCAGGCACACTGGGGCCCTTCCTTTCACCCCTCGGAACCTGAGCTCGGGAGAAGTAGCAGAGCCCAGCCCTGGGACCCACCAGCACATTTGGTAGTGCTGTCTCTCTGCGAAATCAAGTGTCACCCCAGGTGCTCCAAGGACTATTGACACCCTCTCTCTCACTGTGGTCCCAGTGTGCCAGAAAAGCCAGGCAGCCACCGGTTAGTTAGCAGCGTTGGAAAAGCACTCCTTTTTCCCCTGAATGGGTTAAAGTTGTTTCTTAACTCCAGGTGGGGAGAAAGTGTGAGATCACTTGCTCAAGAGGCGAGCGGCCAATGCTGCTTCTGGGGGGAAATTCAAACCCAACCTCTACCAGAACCAGAGTTCTGCGCTCTGCGCTGCGGGGGAGAAGGCGCTGGTGAGACTGGCTGGAGGTCCCCAAGTTCCCTTCCTTAGAGGGTAGCCTTCCCGTGAGGAATAGTCAAGATCCTAGAAGTCCAGCCCGGGGGTCAGACTCAGTTTCCCCAGCAGAGAACGGGACAAGGAAGGCAGCCACTCACCTGCGCTCGGAAGTACAGGAACAGAGCGACACTACAGACCACCTGGCCCAGCCCCAGCCCTAGCAAGGCCAGGAACATGGAGCGGGAAGCCGCAGGGGGCGGCGGCGCGGCTGGTGCTGAAGGCATGGGGTGCAGCGGCCCCTCGTGCGGGGCGCCAGGGCCGCCGCCCATCTCCTCCGAGCCGCGCAGGTACTTGCCGTAGTCTCGGCTGGCCCGGCGCATGGCGCGGCGCCCGTTATTCGGGCGCCCTGCTTCGCGATTGCTCTGTTCCTTCCTCGGTCTCCCGCTGCTAAGCACCGGTTCACCGAGGTCCTGACAGTGACTCCCCCGGGCGCGGGAGAGAGGGCAGGGTACCCAGGGCAGCCCCAACTCTTATAAACCTCATGTAGAGGGCTGGCCTCAGGAGCCAATCAGCCCCAAGGAGGCTGCCTCTTCCACTCCCACTTCAGCCCTCCTTCCTTTCCTTCACCCTCCCCCTCTTCCTCACTCTCACCAACAGACCTCCTCCCTCCCCAGAAAGGCCCTCTGAGGTGGAGGCTGTGAGTGGGTCCAGTGGTTCCTGGCTCCCTCAGCTTGCCCATCCTCAGTTTGCATCACTGGGCCTCAGTTTCCTCTGTAAGATTTGGAGAGTTTGTTAGTTAGCTTCAGTGAACTCCGAAGCCCTTTCCTGTCCACCACTCTCAAAATTTCAGAGGAGGCCATCCTCAAGGATCCTGAGGTTTGGCCTCTGCTATGCTTCCAAATATAGACTCCCCGGATATTGGGAAGACTTGGAGAAATTCTAGAACTCCCTCTGAAGTCCCTCCTTCTCTCTTAAAAGTGACTTTACACGAGGCAGGTTTTGAATGATGCAGCAATGAGCCTATAGGCTCCTATAAGAGAGGGAAGTGGGAAAGGGGAGGGGAAGGGAGAGCAGGGGAGAGCCGAAGAACTAAACCAAAAGGGAAAGATAAATAAAGGGGTGCAAAGATGCTAGCAGGCTGTCCAGGAAAGAGCAAGTGGCCAAGTTAAGCTTCGATAGTTCAGAAAAACTTTCAGGGCCAATGAGATGGCTCAGCAGGAGAAGGCGGTTGCAGTAAATCTTGATGATCTGAATTTGACCAGTAGAATCCTCATTGTGGAGGGAGAGAACATACTTCTGAAAGATGTACTCTGACCTCTATATACACTCACTCACACACACACAGAGAGAGAGAGAGAGAGAGAGAGAGAGAGAGAGAGAGAGAGAGAGATATCTGTTATTGTAGTGTTGTTGTTTTTGTTTGTTTATTTCTTTGAGACAAGTTCTCTATGTAGATTTGGCTGGCCTGGTGCTTGCTATGTGGACTAAACTGACCTCAAACTCATAGAGCTCATCCTGCCTCCACCTCTGCCTCTGCTTCTGCCTCCCAAGTGCTGGGGTTAAAGACTTGTACCACTTACACAGCTAGAATAAATGTGTGTTCTTAAAAATCTTTTTGCAGGTTTTTTTTAATGTCTTGATTCAGAATTATTCCCCTTGGGAAGAAATATTAGCTTCTCTTACAAATTCTGAAACAAGTTCAAAGTGTCTGATACATGTTCAAAGGTGAGGTGCTGCCCCTTGTAGGAGATGTGCCCCCCTTCTTAAGTCTCACTTTTGCTATGCATTTCTCTCTACCTAGTTCTCTAAGGGACATTTCCACAGGACATGTGTCACGGGTGACCTGTCTCTGAGTTAGTGATGCTTTTCCTCTTGGCTATTGTTCCTCTTATTCTTTTAACGAACCTCGTATCCAGGGACAATTTTGAACACAAGGCATAAGTCATAAGGAAAGTATTGATTCTCTAGGCTCCCCAAAGCTTCCAGTGTCAACACATTACATGTCACAATACCAAACGCCTAAATCGTTTATAGCACTTTTTTATTGACTCCTGAAACTCTTTAGTGGTTGGGAACGTAGATCATTGTGGCCGAAGTTTCTTGAAGCTCTTTTTTCCATCCTTGAGAGCTTGAGTTGTATCATTAGCAAGAAATGCCGCTGGTTGTTCTCAAATGGACAAGCACATCTTGTTGGTTTTCCAGAACAGCCAAGTCGGCTTGTACTGTGATCAGCCTACAACCCAGGCATCGGCGCTTCTACACGACAACCATCTCATGCTACAGCAGAAGGGCTCCATTGCAGACTTTCCCATTTTACCCAGTTTTTAAAACTCTATGTCCCAAGTGTCAGGCTATAATAACCACAGTTGTTAAACCAAAGACATCCTTCTGAGTTTAGATTCATTTATTCATTGTATTTTGTGTGTATGGGTTTTCACGTGCATGTATGTATGTGCACCTTGTGCGTGCCTGGTGCCTTCTGGGTCAGAAGAGGGCATCAGATCCCCTGGAAATGGAGTAGCCAATGCTTGTGAACCACCACATGGGACCTGGGAACCGAATCCAGGTCCTCTGCAAGAGCAACATGTGTTCATAACTACATATCTAGTGAGACATCCCTGCAGCCTCTGTCAAGGACATTCTTAAGGGAAAATGGCTTCTGTTTTGCTTTACAGGTTTCGTGCTGGCTTTCCTAGCTTTGCGATAACACTGGATCATTTTGTCCATCAGTGTTAATGTCTACATAGGAAAAACTGAACAAATATTTAAATCATTAAAAACCACGGTCGCGGCATAACCATACAGATACATGTGATCCTGTCAAAGTGTGAGGACTACCCTTAGAGAAACATTGAACTCTTAGAAGAAAACTTCTTTTGAAAAAGCCACGCACAGGGCAGCTGGTTTTAGCAGACATGGCAAATGCTTAGTTAAAAAGAGGTTTTGAAGGTAGTAAAACTTGAGGATTATAAAGCAAGGGAGACAGACCTGCCATCCAGGAAAGGGAAATGAGTCACAGCAAGTGGGGAGGTTAGAATTGAGAAACACCAAGCCGCGGGCCGCTGTTGGGAATCACTCTCTAGCCTACCTCCACATTCTTTACCAACTGGGCTTGTCAGTCATTCCCCTTAGGCCCTGGCGACTGCTGCTCCTAGTTAACTGGTAGAGGGACCCGGCTTTTGTAAGCATTGTCTACACTGCTTTCAAGTCTACACGACAGACTTCATCAGCGCCTCTTCTTGAACCGTCAGACTACCGTGAACATAGAGGCTGATTTTTCACAGACCCACTACAGTCTGAGACAGCCAAGGTCCACCTTTTATATCCTGCACTCCCTATTCAGTTTTCGTCTAAAGAAAAGTTTCTGTGGCAAAGGTCCGTAAGTATTCAAATGTTTATACTAATTTCAGCAACACCAAAGACAGCCAGTTTAAAATAAGGAAATGCTTGGTTTTAAATATGAGAACTATATTGGAGGAGGAATCTAAAGATGTGATTCAAAGACTGGTTTGAGGTTGGATTTGAGAGATGACAAACTGTGCACAGGTATGCATGCTAGAATGACACACAGGCTCCTATCTAAGGTAAAGCTCCTAGAGTGAAGATGTTGTCAGTCTATCATGACACTGGAAGGCAGCACAGCATGGGGCAGCCGGGCGCGTTGCGTCCATAGTCAAGATGCAGCGAAAGAGGCAAATGCTGACACTCATCTGGAGTTCTACTTCTGACATGGTACATGGCCCCAGCCATTACAGGAAGAGAAGAGAGTCAAGGACTCTGGCAAGGTTCATGTGGCCTAAGAGAAAGCATTCAAATGCAAATATAGTGAGAGGGGTGGAGAATCTGCTGTTGTAAGGCAATGATTGAAATGATCATGGCGGTTGAGAGGTCTTGTAGTCTTCTAGCTCCATAGACTTCCTGACCACTGCCAACAGAGAAATGGATGCCGTCCCTCAGGAAAAGCGCTTCTCTCAAAACCCCTCCAGACTCCCAAACACTTCTAAACGACACCCCCTCTGACAGCGAGAAGTAGCCAGACAGAAAACGATGGTTCCTATTCTTTACGTATGAAGGGTTGGGAATAAAGGAAATCCCCCAACTTCAGAACCAGAGCCATAAAAGAAGCCCAAGGCTTCAGGAAACCTGCCACCAATGGAATTCCGGAAGCAGTCACCCACTTCACACACCCTGGAGCCAGGATACGCAGAAACAAACAGTCGGACTCATCTCCCTCTCTGTAGTTTATCAAAAATAGATGAAGAAGGAAGAGGAGGAGGAGGAGGAGTTGTTTCTGGGCCTACTGAAGCTAGGCCCTTTCCCTCCTTATTCTCAGTGAAGATGATGGTGGTGATGATGATGGTGGTGATGATAATGGTGGTGATGATGATGGTGATGATGATGGTGATGGTGATGATTCTTAGACCTGGCATATTCTCCTGTACCTTTGGATACTGAGCCATGGGGTTTGGGGGTGCCAACCTCTCAGACAAATATACTCTGCTTTTGCCACTGAGGTGGAATCTATCATTTTATATCTCTTTGTTGACTTATTGCTTACAGCAGCCCATTGTAACCAGTGGTGTCATTCTGAGCCCTCGGAGACAGACAGATTTAGGAGATTCCAGCCTAAAAATTTAAGACCTGGTTTTCCAAAGACTGGAGAGGGCTATTTTCCCAGCAAACATGACCAAGCAAGGCTAACGTACCCTACCTTCCTTCACCTTTTGGTCTATCTAGGCTCCATGGATGGTCTGCATCCACTCAGGGTAGAGACATATTCACTTTATAAAATCTTTCAATCCATATGTTCCCCCCTTCCAAAAACGCACTCGTAGATCTGGGCAGACATGTGTCTTAGTATCCTGAAGCTCCACCACGTTAACACATAAAGTTAACCAGCAGCCGCTCTGTTCGGAAAAGAGTACTTTATAGCCTAAAGCTGGCTGGGCAAAAAAAAAAAATATTATCCTCAATGTTCTTCTGTTAGACAGCTTGAGCAAAATATCCCAAAGTGTTTGGTCACTGTTCCTTGTTTTCTATACTTCCATTGACTCAATTGCTACCCAAGCTGTCTCTTTCCTTCAAAGATGAAGCATTTTGGCCGCATTGCAAGAGTTTTCCTGCTAATAGTATCTGATTAGAAAGTCTAAATATCGCCTCTTTTTCTTCCCACTTTATTTTCCCCAAAATACATAAGGGGGGAGGGCTGGAATTTTTCATCCGATCCTCACTGCAATACCGATATTCTCTTGACTCCTTTTCCAAACTCTGAATGTGAGCGTCACTAATAGTGAACATCCCTGTGAGACAGGTTTCTCCAGAGAAGGCTTTTATTAGATGCTTTCAAAGACGATGTTACATCTTCACATTCGACAAAGTC